ATTAAATGCTTATGGCATTTGATTGGCAATACTTTGAAGATGAATGATCATTTTCACTTCATTTTCACATTGAGTGCTTCGTGGATCAAAATGAGACAAAGAGGGTACAACCCATGTCAGTTCTTGCCGTTCTTCTAGAACGGTCTTTTCTCTTTTTTAACAGCAGGAAAACTATCTCATAAAAGTGACAATTCGTAAGACAAGCTGTAAAAATATCACCTGTCAAAGGTTCCAAATATCTAATGATAGATGGTGTGAATCAAAACCCACGTAAATTCTCAGTCTACGCTGAGGTCCTATTTTAGTGAGTTGTGGTGGTGCAATAGGCACATAAACAACACAACAAAAAACTTGTAAATGTGAAATGTTTGGTTGATGCCCAAATACTGAGTTGTACTGAGGAGTATTAATGGTTGGCTATAGGTCTCAATCGAACCAATGATGTAGCATGTAAGATGGCATGTCCCCATGCAGAAATTAGCAATTTTGTTTTCATGAGTAGAGTACGAGCTACTAATTGAAGCCGCTTGATAAATGTTTTTACCAAATCATTTTGAGTATGGACATGAAGAACAGGGTCTTCAACATCAACGCCTAGTGTCATGCAGTAACCATCAAAGGTTTGAGACCTAAATTCATCAGCATTATCAAGTTGGATTGACTTATTAGGGTAATCTGAGAACTGTGCTCATAATTTAATTATCTAAGCAAGAAGTCTCGCAAAAGCTACGTTTCAAGTAGACAAGAGGCAAACATGTGACCATCGGGTAGATGCATTAACCAAAACCATAAAGTATTGAAATGGTCCACAAGGTGGTTGAATAGGCCCACAAATATCCCCTTGAATTATTTGCAATAATGATGGGGAGTCAGCATCAATCTTTAATTGTAATGGTCTAATTACCAACTTCCTTTAAGAACAAGCCTTGCATGGGTTATCATTTGATATAGTAATGTGTCTACTCAATAATTGATATCCATTAGAGTTGGTAATGATTCTACGCATCATGGTGGATCCTAGATGACCCAAATGGTCATGCCAAAGCATGTAAATTTTTGGATCAATGAACTTTTAGTTCATGATAGTATGTGCTTCAATTGTCTTTATGTATGTATAATGCAATCCACTCGATGAACCGTGCAACTTCTCCAATGTACGCTTCTAGGTATCATTGGAGGTAATGCATAGATATTCCACATTTTTCTGCATTTTTTGTTTCAATGTGGTATCCATTTAAACTTATATTTTTAAAACTCAACCAATTTCAAGTAGATCAAGTAGCATACAACGTATTTTGTATGGACAATATTGCTTCATTTGGTAACATGATCTAAGCCTTTCCTGAGCCTTCAATTACATCTAATTTGCCTGATATTGTTGTTACCCTTATTTTTGTAAGCATCAAGCTTAAGAAATATTTTCGATCTCAAAGTATTGTATATATGGTTGCGCTGTTTGCAAGACAAATATATATACCATTGCTTTTGTTTTGAAAATAACCATAGTTTTTATCCATACTCGTTGACTAAGGGAATCATAGTTAAAAACAATTTGTTCATACAAAAGAAAATTGAAATGCCACTTTTTTATTGAATTGAAATACAAGCTTTAAGCTACAAGTTCAGATAATAAGAGTACATTAATCATAAAAATGATCTAATCAGACCGATATACTTCATTCCCTCTTTCCACAATGAAGTCTGAAACATCCAGGTGAGTTGTGTTAAATTGCCCTGATAAATCGAACATTGGATCAAGTATATACATTAGTTTAGCCTAGTCGATGAAATTGGCTTCGACACTCTTCTTCTTGAGGGATGTTTGATACAGGTCCACCAGATGTTTTGGGATACGACATGTACGTGCCCAATGCAAGTTGCCACCATACCTATGTCAGACTCCTTCAGGATTTCTAGGAGTGATATTCATATGAGCTTTACCCTTGTGATGATTTACAATTTTGAAGCTTGGGCTTGAATTATGCCTTGGACCCTGGTTGTAAAACTGGACACCATGATTATTACCTTTCCCATTCCACTGGCCTCGCTTGTGGCCACTTCCTTGTCTGTAATTATTGCCACGAGATGATGTGATGTTCACTTCGAGGGAAGCAGCATTCACTTCTGGGAATGCCACTGATCCAGTAGGTCAGGATTGATGATTTTTCATCAGAAGCTTATTGTTCTGTTCAGTCACAAAGAGCACCGATATCAGCTAGTTGTACTTAGTAAAGTCTCAGTCTTTATACTGCTGCTGTAAAAGCACTTTGAAGGCATGAAAGGTACTGAAAGTCTTTCCATCATATCTTCCTCAGTGATATTCTCCCTATAAAGTTTCATTTGGAAGCTAGTTCTAAACATTGCAGAGTTATAGTCAGCAATCATCTTGAAATCTTGGATTCTCGAGTGTGTTAACTCATAACGAGCTCTTAGAGAATCACCGTTTTCTGGTGATTGTACATGTTTCTCAATGCCTTCCAGAGGGCTAATGGATCTTCAACTATTAGGTACTCACTCGTCAATCCTTCATCAAGGTGGCGACGGATAAAGATCATGGCCTTCACCCGATCTTCAGAGGATGCATTGTTTCCCTCCTTGATGGTGTCCCTAAGGTTTCCTGCTTTCAAATGGATCTTGGCATCACTACCCAAGTAAGGTAGTTTTTCCCAATAATATCAAGGGCAACAAAATCAAGCTTTGCCAAGTTCGCCATTTTCTTTTTTCTAAAAGAAAATGAGATGTGTAAGAACCTGCAATCATATGTATTCTGAATAAATGTAGTGTTAGAACTTTTGGTTCTTACAACTTTTTCATTTTGATCTTCCAACCAAAATGATAAAACACTCGAAACTTCAGGCTTGAGGTTTACATAATTAATTAGGAAGGCGATTGTACCGCACCACTCTCATTGAAACAATATAGCATAGGATAGGTGATTATACTGCACCACTCAAGCAATAGGAAAATTTAAATATGTAGTGCAGGGTGGGCGATTATACCGCACCACCTAAAATTGCAATAAAATTAAATCTGTAGTTTAAGATAGGCTATTGTACCGCACCATTTACAATCGCAGTAAAATTAATACAAATAAACACTGGGTTAGTAATTAGGAGTTACACCAAACAAGAAATCAAAAATATAAGTAATTGTTATATTGAGAACTAGAAGAAGGCATGGTGTTAGCAAATCTTAGCGGGGATCAAGAAGGTGAGGTAGAGGAGGAAGAAGAACAGTAAGATCCTTGGAGGAAGCATTTTCGGCAAAGGGAATGAGAACTAGTTATTGTTAGAGAGTCGTACTGATAACGTGTTATAAATAGGCAAAATTGAGAGAGATAACCTTTGCTAGAGACAAGAGCGAAGCAGGTGTAATGTATCACACTGTTTATTTTCGTAATTATGACACAAAAGAATTGCAGATAAAGAAGGGAAGGAAGGGATATTGATCTTATTGCTTTCACTTCTTTTCTTTTCTGTGTGTTGTGATCATACACGGAATGCTCTTTACATAGAGTCATATCCGTAAAGAATCATAAAAGTGAAATGAGTGCATCTTGGAAAACATCATACAACAACAACAATGCTACTATTCTTAAGTCTTCCTCACTTTTCATCTTTGGCTAAAACGTGTGGACGTTCATTCCCACAACTTTTACAACACCATTGTTCATCTTGGCACTCTGTTTTTTCATAACTTAACCTATTAATTCATTTAGTAATTAAATTATTTATTCGAATAAAAATTGTTTTTTTGAGTTGTGACTATTCTTAATTAAGATTGTAACTATTTAATTCAAACTAAAATGATGTGACTGTTTTTTACACAGCGATATATTACACTAATGGGTGTGGGGAATAAATTGGTATCGAGCTCTCTCTGTTCACAAGATTCGAATTAACACCTCTCACTTACAAGTTACAAATGAAGAGGAATACCATACATGCCCTTGAAAAACAATCTCTTTATGTTGCACAAGAGTCAAGTTTGGTTTGTTGATTTTTATGGAAATGAACATAAGCAACACATCTAACAATTCATGGATGAAGCAATAAATCATATGGCAAGGGGCCATAAGTAGAAAGAATCTTCAATGGAGTCTGGAATATTCAAGACCTTAGAGGGATTCAACAAATAAACAACAGTAACGATATTATCATTCCAATAACTACAAGAAGCACAACAAGTGAAGAATGAGCAATTTCAAGAATATGTCAAATTTATTTTCTCAAAAAATAATAATATGTCGAATTTTGCGCTCAACCACACCATTTTGGTGGGGTGTCTGAGGACAAGGTGTCTCATGTAGAATGTCATGAATTTCATAGTTGTGTCAAAAATCATGATTTACATACTTTTCACCATTATCAGAACGCAAGACTTTTGTTGTAGTAGAAAATTGAGTCTGAACCATCTTAAGAAAATTATGACATGCCTTACATATCTTTATTCATGGCACTGGTGAATCACACAATGGTAGTCAAGGGGAGGCTAAAATACCTCTGTGATCTTCCCGGCTCCTCAAGAGTGGACTGTTGTGGTAAAGCCACTAGTTGATCTTCTTTTTATTAAAAAAAAAAAAAAAAAAAAAAAAAAAGGACCTTATTCTTGGTTTTCAACATATATAACCATGTCATTCGTGTGCAATTGTCCGTGAACGTCACAAACCATCAGAATCCAGAAGCAGTAGGTATAGGAAAATGTCCCCAACATTAGAATGAACGAGAGCAAAAAGTGTGTTGGTTTTATTTGTACTTAATAAAAAACATACACGGGTAAGTGGCCCTCTACCATAGTTGTGGAGAGTATTGTTGCTCTTGCACCACGGCGCTCCGTAATCTAACAAATCTATTTTTTGACAAAAAAAAAAAAAAAAAGAAAATGAAAAGATACACGGTGACTATTTGCATATGCCACATGATATTCCTGCTAGGTTTGGGCCGAGTTGTTCACCTCAACAAAAAGGCCCTCTTTCGCAATCAACTCAGAAAGACAAGGCCCTATTTCAGTATTTTGTAAGCCCAATCTCCACCCTCAAGCGTTCCCTCTGATAAACGCAGTTGAAGGCCTTCCCGCGGTTTCGTCAACACTCTTGAGCCGCCGTCGAGTTGCATTGTCGCCATCCGATGGTGAGTTTCAGGATTCATGAAAATTTTCCATTCTTCTGTGATTAATTTTTATCATTTTTTCGTTGCGTAAATTCTGATTTTCATTTTTGTTTTGTTTTAAATTTTCGGTGCAAATTTTGATATCGTGCCTGTTTCTTGACGGTTTAGGGTTTAGATAAAACCTTGAAAATTGTGCTAAGTTTTCATTGTTTTCTCTATCAACGTATGCAATTTGATAACTTTGATAATCCCAGGTTGTTTTAGGACGAAAGCTCATATGGCAGATACCTTAATTATTTTCGTGTTTGAATTATGAAACTTTGGATACGAACTGAAATCTTGCAGAAGGAAATTTGATATGAACTGTAAACTTGTGGTTGCGCTTGAAAGTGTAATGTTTGATTTGATGAATTGGTTCTGAGAATCGAGTTTAAATTCGGATTTAAACAGAATATTAAAAAAGGTGTAAAATTGTAATAAGGGTCTTTTTGTTACAATCCCTTGAGCTTAACTATGTTATGAGCCATATTCTCCTGCTAAATATGGATCTAAAATTTTCCAAGTCGAACTCCTCATCTTCAAGTAGAGGCTGTATTTCCTCTAGCCTAGGGTGGGAAGTACTCGCCGGCAGTGGTACCCGTGGTTATTTGCCCATTCAAACTTGATGGTTACAGTTATAGATAATTATTTAAACAAATACATGATTATGAGTAAAACTGTTTCCCGTAAAATATAAACGGGTGATTACTGATTATAGGTGTTACTCGTGGCTATCCATTTAACAATTTGTTTTATTCGTCAACTTCTAATAAATAAAAATGAAAACCCTAAAAACTTTTCAATGTTGCTCTTCTTTCTCATCTCTGCTTGTTCTGAAAGCTTCCAGACCGCTGTAATTCAATCTCTTCCCCTCATGCAATCTCATTCTCGAATTAGGTTTTCTCCACTGTAAGTTTTTCCTCAATTTCATAGCTTTTAATGGCGGATTGGTAGGTTTGTTCATGTTTTTGGATCTTGACTTTCTGTTCGCTCCCGTGTCAATCAATCAGCTCAGACTTTCTCGTATTTGACAAAAAAAGAAAAGAAAAAAAGATTGATTTTTATCTTGTTAAACAAACCCCTCCTGCTTATATTCCGGTAGCTCATGAATTTCTACATCTTCTACCATCAAGGTGACCTTAGCGGCTCATAATTCTTCATGGTAAGTCAGAATAGGGAACCATAAATGTATGGAAGCATACCTTAGCAGTAAGAATTAGGAATTTCCTAGTTTTGTTACTAAAATAGTTGGAGCATGTAAGTTGTATGGTCGTGTTAAATTTTCAGTTGAAATCAAAATACATATGCTGATACACGAATCAGATGGCTAGAAAATTTTTGTATAGATTTTGAATGCACTCTGGCATTATATCTTCTTCTGTTTCTCACAGCTTCAGAATTTGAATCTTAAATCACTATAGGTATTGAACAGACTTTCATATTGGTGAACAGTATTGTTTGGTTTCTTTTCTTTCATTATTTTGTTTTGCATCTTTCTGTACCGCAGGCTGGCTCCGCTCCTACTTGGTTTCTCCAATTAATTGATTCGACAGTAACAGAAAATCTTTGTTTTTTGTTGACTAATAGAAACTCTTTGTTTCTCAGTGATGATTTGACCGTGAACCCTAGTGTTAGCTCTTTTGTGGTAGACATTTGGCTTATTGTGTAGATTTGGGTTGTAAATTCATTATAATTCTTTAGCCACTGTCAGCTTGTGAAATGGTGTTATAGTTTTTTATTTTGTGTTACTGCTGGATTTTATGCTTGAATTCAGTTTGAATCCGTCTCTGATTCTCTTTTCTTTGCTTAATTGATATTTGCAGGACAGAGCGGAAATGCCTTGACCCAGTCCAACATAACACTAGACAAACGTACCCAAAGGATCCTAAAGTCGTAATCTTTGTCCTAAGCTCACATCATCAACTAGGATTTCAGATTATTAACATGGACCCTAGATACACAGGAGAGATATTGAAGTAAGAATTTCTACCAATTTTCTTTGTATGAAATTTAATTTTGATACGTTATCTTTTGTTTTTTGTAAGTTCATTTTGGTTTATTTTTTGTGTATAGGCATTTGGAGAAGCAAAACGAGCTCCTCATGGAAGCCAAAATATCAATGTCTGAGGAATTGCATCAACTGAAGGTTGTTTGTTCTTATAGGAAATTATGATGTACAATCTGCAGATTCTAGATGGTTCTAATTTAGTGTGCTGTTCAATCTGCAGGTAGAAGAGGAAATGCTGATGCGTAAGTTTTATGAGATTATGTCAGCTCATGGTAAAGTGAAAAAGGTACAATTCTTTCGTAGTTCTCTCGTCGTATGCTTCTGCTTACATGGGTTGCGTAGTTCTGGAATCTGGACCAACCATTTTAGGTTTTCTGAATTGTTTGTATAATTATATTTTATATTTTCATAACCAAGGAACCAATAAAAGGAAGGGCTATCATGTGCCTATTCCGTGAATTAACCATGGCGATAGCCTCTGGTTACACATTGCCGTCTGGAGAGTGATCACACTTTGGAGTGAGAAATAACTGATATAGGAAAGAAAAAGTCTGATGTATCTGACTAGCAGCAACTTTTGATGCGTATAATTAAACTTTGGTAAAATTCAGTCCATGACTATACATGGTTGGTGAGAAAAGAACCCGGAGTTTTGTTTTTTGGCATTTAGACCAGTAGTTTGTTTCAGTCAGCATGTAAGGTTCACGTTAATCTTTTCCATTGATTACCTTTCCTTAAGTGAGTGGACACTTTTTTTCAATCCTGGCTGTTACTTTAATTGTATAGTTCTTTTCTACTTTTGGTTTGTCTGATTTGTGTGCGCTTTTGCAGAATGGAGATGGTGGTAAAGTTTCAGATGATGGTGAAATTGGAAGTTCCACAGCGTTAGCCGTAGCCGACACAACTAACGATGAGGAATGCCGATGACTTCAAGTTCTGTTTCTCATTGTCGAATGACTGTACATATAGTTTTGAATGTTGCACCCCTTTTACTGCTTAAGCCAAGCTTCGATCAATGTTTGATCATGTAAAGATTTGCACTTGGCTTATACAAGATGAAAGAAGTGATGGGGTGCACCGGTGTTTGAACATCCAGATTTGAAGAAATTTCAAAATCCAACCGTCCAACATACAGATGCACATCCCATACACGAAAATTTCAAAATTTTCGTGAGAAATAAGTCACTCCAAACAAATTCGAACAACAGAAATCAAGCAAGAGGAGGAACTTGGCAACAACACGTTCGAAATACGCAAGATTTCTTTCCTAATTAGCTCGTCTTTCGGAATTTGGCAATAACACATTAGTTTCCTCGCACTTGCAAGAGGAGGCGTACATATCAAAAGAAACCACATGTAACTACTTAGAATAAAACTAACAGCTGCAAAATTACAGGGTCACCTCGGAACATGATTTCCCAAAAATTCAAATCCTCATCATAGAACAACAGCCACCAGTCTCAGTTTCTGCTCCGAACGCATTCAAGTAAGAACGAAACGACATTGAAGATAACCTGCAATCGGAAAACAAAACTCCATATCAACAATCTTGCAGAAGAGGAACATTGGCAAACTAATCAAAATTCGAAAACTAAACGACTTTTTTACTTGGATCATTGTTGATCAGCATTGCAGTGCCATCGAAGTTGCAAGTCCCTCCGGTCCTCTTGTTCTTCTGCCAGTAGCTGTTGAAGGCATAGGAAGCATGTGCCACAACAGAATCAGGGTTGTAGCAGTTGCCATCCGGCATGATCTCCTTGCAGTCAGCATCGCCGTCTCCGCAGGCATAGTCCATTGCCACCTGCAGAGTGTCTGAAGGAACGGTAGGCTTGGCCACACACCACAGCTTGTGCACCGCCATCTGAGGGGCAGGGGCAGGAGGCCACACATGTGTCGGAATCGGATTGCGGCAGGGTGGAAATGTGGCAGGGGAAGGCGGAGAAGGAGGGGATTCATCAACAAAAGGAGGGTTTTCTGGCACTGAGGAGAAATACATATCTGGTGGAGAGGCTATTTGCGGTGGTGGTGGAGAGGCTGTTTGTGCCTCCGGGGAGAGCATTAGTGGCGGCGAAGTAAAGGCAGTTCGGGGTTGTGGGGAAGGCACTTGGAGTGGGGGAGAGGCAGTTTGGGGCTGTGGAGGATGAGGGTTTTTAGCCACATTGGCGGGAACTGATACACCAACAGAAGAGTGAAGTGGGGTTTCCGAGATTTCAGGCAACGGAGTCGGTCTCGCCGGAAAGGGGTCGGCATAGAGCTTTCTGCCGCTGGGTTTTCTCTCTCCTGGGTTGTCGAGAACGACAGGAACATCGTCGGAGTTAAAGCTAACGCCGATCAAATCTTCAAGGCTTTCAGAGTGAGAAGACACCAACGTTGGAGAGACAGTTGGAGATGCTCCCTTGATAAAATCTAGGACAGGCCTCACAAATTTCCCAAAGATATCGGAGCTTCTGTCGAAACAAGAAGGAGCGAAGGTGGCCGAGAGTTTGATGTGCTCCTGGAGACCCCACCGTGTGAGGGAGTGGTGCAAGTTCTTGAGGGCTGGGAGGACCAGAGCGAGAGTGTTTTCTTGCTGTTTCCGGCAGAGAAGAGGGCCGCGGCCGGCCCCGACGACAATGGCGGTGATGGGGATGGAAGGGTAGTGAGCGAGGACGCGGGTTTTAAGCCAAGTTTCTGCCTTCAAAATGCTGCTTGCGACCTCGCTGAGATCTCCAGATTTTACAGAAACAATGGAGTCTTGCCTTTCACCTGCACAGAAAACAAAAACCCAGAGTTTTTTCAGAAAAATAAAAAATAAAAAACAAAAACCAAGAATTAAATAACACAATGAGAGATTTTTTGAAGTTTTTGAAGCTTCCGCTTACCAGAAACAAAAAACGAAGGGAGAAACAGAAGATGAAAGAAGAACACCATCTTTTTCAACATTGTTGCAGATGCAGAGGATCAACCCTCTCTCTGGTTTTACGTCTTGGAGTGGAGGTAATAGTACGAAAAACAAAGCAAAAAAGGTGCTTTCTAGTGAAAAGACGAAGATGCCGGTAAAGAGTACAAAAAGCAACGAAAATTTGGCAAGAAGCCATCGAAGCAGAGCATCCAATACATTTGCCTAGGGAAGTTGGAAGGAGGGACGTATTGGCATGGTCAAGACTCAAGAGTCCAAGACCCAGCCAACAGAGTTGTCCTTGTCAGCTCTATGCAGATCTACCCTCTGCAATTTTACATGTTTTATCTCGGAATATAGATACTCTAGAGCACCATGGGAGATATGGCTACATTTGTTGGTGCGTCCAATCCACATCAATTTGAAAATCCATGATCATGATTAATCCAACAATAAATAAAAAATTTAATTTGGAATTTTTCTATATATTGTTATTCTATAAATATCCACCATTTTTTCATTTCTTCGTCACAACTCAATATTCATTTTTACTATAATTTTATATATTTGTTTGCACTTTCCAAATCCTTATTTTGCCAAAACAATAAGTGAAGGGCAAATTGGTTGATTAGGGAAGACTTTATTTGCTTGAGTGTTGGCTTAACATTTTAGGTAATGTGAATAATAATAGTCCTTACCCTTGTCCTTATCTCTTCTAAGACCAACTTCAATAGTTGAGGCTAAAACCTAAATTTTTTGTCCAAAAAAATTTAAGTTTTAACCCAAAAATAATTTTTCTTCTTCAATGATTTTAGCTTAAAAATTTAGCCCGAAACCAATGAAGAATTGGATTTAGCTTAATTTTTTTTTTCGGAAACTTTATTTTTTTTTTTTAAATTATGTGGATTATCCTAATTTATTTTTAGGAACATTTTAACCTAAACATGTTTAAATTCTGATAAAGAATACAAAATCATTAAATATGCTTCAATATTACAACAATTACTAATATTTGTATTAAGTAATGAAACCCCAAAAGAGGGTGAAAATACTACTTAGTCTTTTATCACATTAAAAAAAAATGATAGGCAATAATGTAATTTTATAGGTCCAAATTTTACTGTTTTTTATTGAAACCTTACCTACAGATGATGTTAAAATACCTCAAATATTAAAAAAAAAAACAAAAACAAAAATTCAAAAACAAAAACCTCCCACTCCCCCCCCCCAACGTTCTCTCTCTCTCTCCTTCTCTCTTTCTTGTTTTCTAAAAAAATGTGTTCATACACACAAAGTGTGTAGACAAATGCTAGTAAGAGATAATTAAAACACTAAATAAAGATTAATAAACGATAATTAAAACACTACATAAAAATTACTACAATTACTAATCATAATAATATTTATCATCATTTGGCTGATTTGGTTCTTGACTTGGTGGTGGCTTTCGTGGTGGACTTGTAGACATGAGATGTATCATCATCCTCAAAGATATTCCTTGCGGCATTCCTTCATAAGATTTCGTTTTGCTTATTACGGAAGAACTTCTTTCTATTTGGAGTGTATTTGTGGAGGTCCTCCCTCATTACATCAAAATCGAAATTTTCCTGCTATAAACAATCTCTTGCATTTTCCTTTTTCTATTGTTTATTAAAGAGTAAGCGCATTCAAACAATTTCTTCCTTGGTCTCCCCTCAACCTTCAAACAAATTTTCAACTTCGAAACAAAGCTTGACACCAATCGAATTTTACATTCCACAAAGTATGAAGGGAGACACTCACCACTTCTTGGGCACTCCTTCCACTATACATGTCAACCATGGCTCTCTCTAAGCTTCCATTCCAAAAAGTGCACATTTTGTTGATGATTTTCTACCAGTGGTTTCCCTTTGGTAGGTGTTGCAGTTGGAATTGAACTTCTCGGCAATTTTAGCCTACAAGACCTTTTTATTTTGATTTGCACCAATGACACCATCTTCCCTAGTAGAAACTTATGCCAAGCAAAGCAACATTTTCATCATTCGACCAATTAGGTCCTCCAATATGATTTCTTGCCATCTTGAAAATTTTGGAAATGGGAAGAAATAGTTTTGGAAGTGGGTAGAAAGAAAAAAAAGAAGAATTGTATGAGGAAAATGCATTTTGTGTGGATGTTTGAACAAATACATAGTTATTTATAGTGGTTTTGGGTGAATTTCAATTTAAATAATTTTTTTTAATTGTTTTAGCCATTAAATTTAATTTTGGAACATCAAATTTTTTTTTTTTTACCGTTAGATTTGATCTCAACCGTTGAATTTAATGAATTTATAAATTAAAATTAAAAAAAGGTTTGAATTTAACCGTTGGTTGATTCAACGGTTTATTCACCAAGGTCCTCAGATGAATTTAAATCATTGGTGTCTACTTTCTCGGCTTGGAGTTTGGCTTCCTCGAGGATATGACATCGGCACCGATGTGGTCTTTGCTGGAAAATGATCTGGCAACTTGGAGGCCAAGCAAATATCAGACAACAGAGACAGAGGAGAGAATATATGTTTTTATTTTTATTTTTGCTAAACAGAGAGAGAGAGAGAGAGAGAGAGAGAGAGAGATTCGAAGGGTTGGGCCATATTAGACTTGTAAAAATGAAAATGGCCTGCAACCACTCGATTTGATCCAATCATCCCAATTTTATATTGGCCCTTAAGGTTCGTTACGGTTCAATTTTGTCGGTTGAAATGGACTTGAAACCCTCAAGCTTCGTGTAGCGACTCAGTCACGACATAACTTATTGCTAAACTGTTTTAATGTTAGAACAGCTCGCGTGATAGCTAACTTGGTTTTGAATTCCAATTTTAGCTTAAGCTTGGTTTTCAAATGAACTGGGTTGTTGGGCCTCTTTCCCTTTTTATGTCCTAAACCGGCCGATCCTAATCATGGGGGCCCGATTCATATGGTTAAGGTTTTTAACTTTTGTAAACCGACCGAAATTGAACCGGATTGATCACACTTACATATTGGTTTTTAAACGATTTTATTTTACACGTGTTGGTCTTTTTATTAGCTAATAAGTAATAACTAGACAAGGATGTTGAATTTGAAGGTTGACAGAGCGTCAAAGATCTTTGACTTGTAACTATCTTAGTTACTACACTTTCAAGTTTGATGGGATGGTATATTGAATTTTTTAGGATGCTTTTGATGTACCATAGAAATTTTCCATGTAGAAAATTGCTGATTTTTTTTTTATTGTTGTAGTGCTATAAAGTTTAAA